AATTTAACATGTTTGATGCTTTGTAGTCTTCATAGATAATATTCATTTTGATCACCTGAGGTTTACTCTTCCTTGAAAAATCCAGTTGCATGTTTAAGTTGTAATCAGCATTCAGTATGATACACACTTTTTGTTAAAACAAGGAATACTTCAAAACTAAGATTGACTTTATCAATTGCAAGTTCCTTTGCGTTTTAAATGCTACCTTTTGTTATTATATTCATCTTTTCCCCATTTGTACCAGGGAAGAGTGTATTTGAGGCTAATTTTGGTGCAACTTTTACAATTATCTCGTCTCAGGTACCATGCAGTTGTTTAAGAATTTAGATATCGGTTTCCTGGACATCGGAGATTATCTTGGTAAAATTTGTTTCTTCAATTAATAGTTTGCTTATGTTTCTTAGTTTAAATGATTGCTTTCAACTGATATGCAGTTGTGTGTAGCAGAATACCATTTAAAGATCGGTCCACATTATTCATCCTTGCATTATGAAGACTATGAACAGATTATTCTGAATTCCTTTTATTGTGAATCATTATTAGTGTACTGCACGTACTTTTTCATCGCATTTTAGGTTGTATATTTGTATTCAAAATATTTGTATATAAACAAGCACAAACAGCCACATACATACAATACAGATGCATATGCTTTTCATAGAACAAGGTCTTATGCCTATCTTGGCTCTTACGATTGCTTCTTCTTTTAGCACTTGGAACTATATTTTCGGCCACAGATTCTGTCTGCACTTTGCAGGTACAGATATTTATTCAGTTTATTATAGTGAAAAGAAAAGTTGAACATACATTGTAGTATAAATATTGTATCTCCTGTACAGGTGCTTAATCAGGATGAGACACCTCTTCTGTACAGTGTAGTCTTTGGTGAAGGTGTGGTAAATGATGCCACATCAATTGTACTTTTTAATGCAATTCAGAAGTTTGACCTCTCTCACATCACCACGAGCATTTTTATGAAATTCATGGGGAACTTCTTATACCTTTTTTTCACGAGCACATTGCTAGGAGTAGGGGTGAGCCTTTTCCTTCTAATTTTTGCACCTTTCAATGTGTTTATCTGCCTTTTCTTTATGGTTGCTAAATTTGTTTAATCATTTGTTAAAGCCACTCTTTACGTTCAGTTTTACATTACATATGCAGTGAACATCTCTAAATTACATTTATTGCATGAGATCAAAGCCATAGTGTCAAGGGGATTTTTTTTGCTTGAACTTTTAGTCTTTTCAAAGGAAGATCTAAAGAGATGATTAAATCACTGTTCAATACTATCTAGACTGACAGAAGATAGGATTATTTTCTTCTCTTCTAATTATTGTTAGCTTGTGACAACACATAATAGGGTTTACTCGTATAAGTTATGCCGATTATTATCACAATAAGCACTTTATTCTTTGATTATTAACGAAATTTGGAACTCTAGGCTTTTTAGCTCGACATTGACTTTAATAAAGAGGTCTTATCCTCTCTCTTTTTTTCCAAGAGAACTTGCGCTTTGATAACTAATTGATAATGTTATTGCATTAACGCAATTTTTTTCTGTCATCAAGCCTGCTGCGTGATATTGAGTATGCCCTATTTCAAGGGTTTTTGGCTATTTGAGACTAAAGGCATGCATTTATTTTATGTAGTCATCTAACGTAACATCAATTTCACTTGCAGGTTGGACTAATAAGTGCATACATCATAAAGAAATTGTACATGGGCAGGTTTGTTAAGGGCAAATGATCATCATTTCTTGTTTCTCCTCTTTCATGATGCAAAATAGAGTTAATTATCCCAGCTTATACGTCCATTCTTCTTTGTGTTAAAATGAAAACGCATGACCCTTTTAATAGGTAGAATTAAATGTCTTCTGAGTGTTTAATTGTGCCAATTGGAATTCAACAACTTTGTTGTTAGTTCTGTTCAGAGCTTTAACAAGATCTAATATTGTTGACTGTCAAATGTTTGTGAATTAACTGTTTCAATGTGTGGACTGAAGTTCTGTGATGATGTTGTTAGGCATTTCTCTTTAGGGCTTTAACAAGATCTAATATTGATTGATGGTTGCCAAATGTTAATGAGTTTATTGATGTCAGCAATCATCTAGAACTGGATTAATTGACATTCTTATCACCAACCTAGATTCACATAATAGTCACGGATTAACTAAGAATTCTTACCACAATGACAGCTCTAAGGACTCTCATTAGAATCTGTTTCTCCTCTGTAAACAGCTTGTTGTTGAAATCTTATCTTCCAGCATGACATGAGAATTCCTATAGCTCTTTATAAATAAAATTTACTTTTCATGTTTGATTAAGTAGCTAAGCTTCTCCAAATTTTAGGCACTCTACTGATCGTGAAGTTGCTCTCATGATTCTCATGGCTTACCTCACATATATGATGGCTGAAGTAAGTATTCTTTTTTATGACTCTGTGCTAAAGATCTATCTTTCTAATATTCAGGTGCTGTTTTTGCATTGCTCGTCATGTCCTTGTTTTTTCTGATAATAATTTTGTTTTTCAGTTGTTCAGTTTGAGCAGTATTCTTACAGTGTTCTTTTGTGGTTTGTTATGTCACACTACACCTGGCATAATGTGACTGAAAGTTCAAGAATCACCACCAAGTACGTTAATTTGGAATTTAGTTCCCACATATTGAAAAGTTATTCAGTTTCTAATTCTCTTTCTCTTTGTTTTTTATTAAGGTATTCTTTATCAAACCCAAATAGACATGTTTTTACATTCTTGTGCTGATTATTGATAATTGCAGGCATGCTTTTGCAACATTATCATTCATATCAGAGATTTTCATCTTCCTGTATGTTGGTATGGATGCTTTGGATATAGAGAAGTGGAAAGTTGTTAGCAAAAGGTAATTCCTATATTTTAAAGGCTAAAGTGCAGTTTCATTTATATTGTCTTACCGTGTTGCATAGATAATTTTAGACATTTTATCTTTTTATCGTAATCTTTAACCATATCAAGAAATTGATTACATAATGTCCAGTAATAGAGATAGTTAATATTGTATGTGTATCAGTTACCACCGTGTGCTTTTTGTTTTCTTTAAATGGTATCTAACTTGAATATCAAAGCAATGCCTTTCAATATCGACTGTTCGGTTGATACATTGTGTGTTTTTGTAGTCCTAGAACATCTGCGGGGGTGAGCTCAATACTTCTTGTCTTAGTTCTAGTTGGAAGGGCAGCTTCTGTATTCCTTCTATCTTTCATATCCAATTTATTCAAAAGGACTGAGAGAGACAAATTTACTTTGAAGCAACAGGCCAGTATTTTGAGTTATATTTTAGATTTTCTTCCCTCTGACATTCTTGATGTACTGAATTATTCAAGTCAAACAGGTTACGATATGGTGGGCAGGGCTCATGCGAGGTTCTGTGTCCGTGGCACTTGCTTATAATCAGGTAAATTAGGTGATAGGATGTATGATCTCAAGACTTCTGCATTGTAATTGATTTATTGTCCAAAAGTTGAACAAACATAAATCAATAATCTTTTCAACATTGTCTTGACATCAATATAAGATATAGTAGTAAGGCACAGAACTTTATGTTCTCAGCATGAATTTGCTAAAAAATTATTTCGATGTTGTCTTCGACATCAATATAAGATAATAGTAGTAAGGCATAGAACTTTATGTTCCCAGCATGAATTTGCTGCCTTTCTGAATTGTTTGCCTCATTAAAGGAGATAATTTTTTGCAGTGAAAATGGTAAAAATTTGGCATTTGATATCAAATAATGATGTATGGTAAGATGAATGCTTCATCATGCTTTTCTATAAATTGAGAAACGTGTACCAAAAATTTGTGAATTATTGGGCGATTGCCATCCATTCACTGCAGTCACTGTTTGGTGCATTTGCTTTGGCATGTTATATCGACATTCTTATTTCTGTGTAAACTGTAAAGAACACTATAATTGCTGTTTCGCTTTGGTTCTTGCCACCGAAGTTGTAATTTATTGGATGTATGCAGTTTACTAGATCGGGGCACACTCAATTGCGAGGAAATGCCATTATGATAACCAGCACCATCACTGTTGTTCTTTTCAGTACTGTGGTAAGAACTCAACCTAAAGTTAGAACTGCTTCTCAATAATGATGAGATCTATTCTGCATAATTTTTTTCATGTGAAACTCTTAGTGGTGATTCCTTGAAAATTTTCTCTCCATAATGTATTATTCTCTTGGCATTGAGTCAATAACCATGCTTTTACTTACATACATAGATATCTTAATGACTGTATCCAGGGATATTTGTATAAACCTTTAATTTTAGACCTTTGCTTTAGAAAGGCAAGGTAGGTGGACCTGCCCTAAACACTAGGATTAACTAAAAGTGCGAGGTTGGTTGAATAAGATAGTCTGTGGCATTAGATGGATGGCTAATTAAGAATTCGGTTAATCAAAGGGCTTAACATCTTCATGTAAGGGCTCATCATGGTAGAACAAAATATTGCTATTTGTCAAAAGAAAGCGCTGCAAAAGTTTTTGCGTGCATCAAATGTGACATACTGTGCCATATCATACAAGTCTGATTGCCTTTTTTTCAGATGTTTGGATTATTGACGAAGCCTCTAATAAGGCTGCTGCTGCCAAGCAAGAACCTTAGCAGCACTGCATCCTCTGAATCTCTTGATCCTTTTCCTCCAAAGCTGATGGCAGATCTGCCACTTGTTGCCAACGGGCAAATTGAGATGCTGAAGCGGGTAAGGACAACATTCCCCGTCCGACCAGCCTGCGTATGCTCCTAGCTACACCAGCTAATACTGTCCACTACTACTGGCGGAAGTTTGATGACAGCATCATGCGTCCCATGTTTGGTGGGAGAGGTTTTGCGCCAATTATCCCTGGCTCGCCAACAGAACCACTTCTTCACTGAATTTTGCACCAGGAAAAGATAGTTGGATTTAAGGATCCGCCTAGTGTGTGAATGTATATATTTGGGATTCACATGGCTCGTGTGAATATTAGGTAGAAATCAGATACTCTGAAATGATTGTAAATTCGTAGCGGTTCTTGATTTAGAATAGGTAGGGAAGCTTGATGAGATTACACCTCAAAACTTAATTGGACTATGCTAAGATAAAGCCGAAGAGTCCTAAAGCCTCCGGATTCGCAAGCCATTCTGGGGTCGAACGTTCTTTTAGAACCCAAAGAGAATAAAAAAAATGTTTTGCATTAGTGTGTTCCTGATCTTCTTCGTTCGAACAACACATCAATGACAGATAATGTTGTCTATTAATATTCGTTAGATCTCAAGCGTAAAACGTGATCTTTAGTCTATTTATATTTTATGAAGTTATTACATAAAATTGAATGCACATATAAAATTTAAGTACTGATTTTAACAGCGTTTTACCATTTGTAAACATCTAAAAAGAATGTGGTACGCGTTATATATTTAGAAACGAGGATGGTGATGTCATTTTTCAAATCTACAATATTAATCAAATTTGAAGTAAAACGCCCACCCAATTCCGATTTTATGCATGCAGCCCTGCCATGCTATAGAAAAAATTATTGGCAAACTGTTACAGTCAAATTATTTAAATAAAAAAAAATGAGGAAGACGATAACCCCATATATGAGGGTTAAAGGAAGATATGACACTTTGTTATTGTGATGCGAGCTTCATGAAAATCAGCATAATAAGCCACTGAAACTTTGAGTAGTTGGCTAAGGCTAATTGACGCTGCTCTCGAAACCAGTCGTAGGTTTCAGATCGATGATTTTCTTTTATCGTCGACTTTTGCTAGCCAAGCTATGATCGAACTGAATTTGCAACCGCTAATAAATTAAGCCCAAAGGAGACCATCAAAGCCTATCTCCAAATTTGAAATGGGACTATCCCCAAAGTCGTGCTTAATCACTTGGTTGTCTTCAAGTGATTCAACATATGGTTCTAAAAGATCATCGGATCTTTCAGATGGAATGCCGTAATCTTTGAGAATGCAAGGTGAGGCGGCTATAGCTACTTCCCTCTCCAAGACAGCTAGGTAATTGTCTTCGAATTCAAAAACCATATACTTGTCTTGACAACCTGACCAAGAATACAGGTTGCCATGAGAACTATTTAACAATAAGATGAATGATGTGATGATGATGATGATGTTAGGACTTACAAGCAACAAGGTGTGCCAGTTGATGGATGTTCTTTATTCGAGTTCCATTGAGCTTCAAAACCTGAAACTTCTACGTTTCAGCACATCCGAATAAATTGGAAGAGGCAAATCAGGAGGATATACAAAACCAACCTGCTGGTTACCCATATCCTCATATCCAATGTTCACTTCATTCGCCGATACCTATTGAAGACAAGATAAAACAAAAAAAAGAGAAATCCCATGCACCGAAATACAGTTTTCAAGATTCCCGTGAAGGAAAACCATGCTCAGAAATACGATGGTCATAGTTATGACAAGAGAGAACCATGTTTCATCTCATAAACCCCAACAGATTATTATAACATTAATGCAAAAGCATAGTACGTGAGAGTTTGCCTTGGCTATCAAGGTACAAAATATCATGAGCGCCGTACCTGTGATAGGATTACAATCTGTTCCCCTTTGAACCTCGCCAAAGAATACCGTGCCTTAGCCAGCAGTTTCAACTAAGAAGAATAATGAACAATTAAATGCCAAATTTCAAAAACACCGAGGACAAAATACACATATTAGTAGAATATCATGCTTCAGGAGTTTCCCAACTCACTCCTATTGATTCTTCGCGCTCCTCCCTGAAAATTAGACATGAAATTCACGGCCAGCATTAATATCCTTATATTATTAAATCCATTCGCCAAAAGAATTGAATAAACTGCTGGAGTTATTCCACACTTACTCAATTAATGGTTCTGAAAGTGGAGTAAACACTAAACCAGCAATAATTAAATACGAAGGTTGATCTCCATCAATATGATAGGGAACCTGGAATACCACACACAAAAGGAACTAAATCATTATTCGCTCTAAATGAAAGCAAATCTAACCAATATTTTAGAGCTGTATGTTTTAGTTCAGGGCCAAAACTTTAATTGCATACCAAGTGTACTCTTGGATTTAATACTACTTGCACTTTCATGAATTTTCCTGCTCTAATAATACCAAGCTCTGCTACGTCCCCTGCAAATCTGTAAGAGAGCTTAGATTGGAAACATAGACTAGCTTATATAACAGGAATATGGAACAAATGCTTAAAGAAAGAAGGGAACTGTAAGGGCCCATTACTTTTGACTAATGAGATAGCGGAATGCGATGCGCTCGTTTGATCTGAATGGAACTGTTCCTTCAGAACCCACGTGAACATCATCAAAACTGACAATCACATCCCCCTGTAAAGATAGATGTAAAATAAGGATTGTCTTTAATAACATACAGGTATACACAATCTCTGAAAACAAGTGAAATAAATCCTTGACATTAAGCTTCTGTTATCATTTGTGAGGAATTTGGTCTCTCATGACAACCACTAGAAATAAATAAGACGTGTGTGAGGACAGAGAACTGAGATGAACAATAAAATAGAACTAAAGGTGCAACATGCTTCATACTTGTGATCATTGCCAACATACCTGCTTTAGAACATTATTTGCATCCGAAGTAGGTTCCACTCTTCGAACAAGCACACCCTGTGGAATTCAACTTTTACATTGGAAACATCTATGGAAATGTGCTGCTCAATTGACTTGACACTACTAAGTTTAAAATAGCATTGGAAATATGTGCACAAGTTAGCTTGTGCATTTGCTTGCTATGCTGAGTCAATTGTAGCATAAGTACCTCATTAGATTGTACTTGTAAGCACACACGTAGTGCTGGATTCTCCAACTTCTGCAGCAATACACCAAGGCAAGGGAAACCTGGAATGCAATGAATAGCTTTATTTGTTTAGTTACTTCTGTAGAAGATGCCATGTAACTTCAATATTCATCCTTAACTACTAGGTGTGAGTCACAAATCAGAAACAGAATGATAGAGATGAAAAATAATATTTAGCATAATGATTAATTCAAGCGACGGGCTATAAGAGATGACTGTAAATCCAAAAGTGGCTTGTTCGGAGCAAATGGCAAGATTTGTTTGAAAGCATTTTACTCTGTTAAGATATACGTCGTTCATCATGCAATTATGTGCAAATCATGAAAATAGACAAACAATTATGCAATGAGGACAGAGAAAATCTAATTGTAGATCCAAGTAGTGTGTTTTGGAAGGAAACCAAATGAATTGAACCTAAACTAAGAACCTTTTGGATCAACATCTTTGAAGGATGTGAACAGAAATACTGAAGCTACATCTCTAAAACTCACAAGAATAATTTGTATCATAAATTAAACATTAGCATAAATGATGAACATCGTGAAAAGGAAGAAGCTACCTAATGCACTACTTCTCGAATTCCAAATATATTGACATGGATTTACATGCAAGTATAATACATATTTCACACACTCGTTAAAGCACCACCAAAAGTGCAAGGTAAGAAAAGATTCTAACCTGTATATTTTCCATTTCTCTCATAATCATTCAGCTTCCTCAGATCTGTAAACCTAAAGGAACTCTCCCCTTAATACATAATTTAATAAGTGGTAGTTACGGGGAATAAAAGATTATGAGGGACCAAACATAGCAGAAGTAAGAATACATGATGAAAAAGATAATAGTTTTCTTTTATTAGGAAAAAAGAAAGATAATAGTTGATAAATTAAAATATGGCCAAATAAGATACTCTTACAAATTTTGACATAACTTTAATAATTAATTCAAAATAAGGTACAACACCAAAATGAACAATTAATGCTTGCTTTAGTCATGAACAAACATTTTGAGGTGACTCATAAAACAAAATTGGAAGGCAGAGGAATCATGAAAAAAAAGGAAACATAACCCTAAACTAAATAAAGTATTTGCTAACTTATTTTAGCATAATTCGAAATATTTGAAGTCCATCAAAATTAACACAGAAGATGTACCTGAAATGCAACCCCAATGCACTCTCCCTGCTCGTTGAATGCAGGACCACCACTATTACCTAAAATCTACCAAGTATAAGCAAAGACTAGCACAATGATAGGAGCAACGCCTTTCAAAAAGGGAGATGATGAAAGGCTTAGATATATAAATTTCAATGACTCACTGACCAGGATTTATTGCTGCATCAATTTGAATGCCCAACAAATCAGATGAGCCATGGGCATATGATGTGACCTGAAGTAGAATAATATCAGATAGGATATTGGATACGGTTTTTCATTTGACGCTTCATCAAGAATAAAGAATACATGGATGCGGGAATCAAAATAATTATAATGTGGGGCAAGATCTGATGGATGCTTTCAATTATCACTTTGAAGAGGTGAATCAAACCTCTATACGAGATACAACTCCCTTTGTCACGGAAATGGTGTCTCCTCCTAGGGGATATCCCACGACAGTTACTGCATCCTGCCCATAAAGAAAACAGAACAGAAATGCCTCAAAAAACTTGAAAAAGAAAATGGTCATAACCAACTTAGCATGATCTACTAAAGTTGAGGAATGAAGGATTTTGAATGTCGCATTGATAAAAATAAAAATGGAGCAAATTTTATATTACTATTCTGAAGTTTAGTTTAAGCTATGGACTTCATGCTGTTTAACACTATGTCATATCTCGTGCATGATACAGATAGGCACGCAGGTATGTAGAATCTCTCACAAAGACGTTACAAATACGCAAAGCTTATCACAAATTTATCACCTTATAAGACCATCAAACATGGAGGAGCTACTTAGTGTTGCATTAGACTTCTAATTATTCAGATATAATCATTTTGCTTTGATAGCAGATCATATCAGTGACCCAAACCAAATCAAATAAATAAACCAAAAACAAGATCAAATACCATTGGAATTTCTTTTATCATAGTTCCTCGGCTGAATCTGAACAATTGCTAATTTTATTAAGGCAACTTATCAAATGCATTATCTTTAAGATTCAAGATAAAGCATAAGGTATTGCAAAACGTGGTGGGAGAATAATTCTATGATTTAAAAAAAAAAGTAAAAGGGCTATTCATAACCTGAAGACGAGGCAAGTGTCCCAAGCGGAGTGGCTCAGCTCC